AGGCTACTCTGACTGAAGTCTTCTGTTTTGTTTGGATTCTTTCTCTCCCCCCCGACTCTGTCTTTCAGCAGTGGGAATCAAAAACCAACAGATTCAACGTGCATGCTTTTCTTCACTTATCATGTCCCATGGAGAGGTATCACTGAAGTGACTTATTTCTTGCCATTGGGCCCTCTTATGGAACAAGGTACGAATATCATGCTATCCAAATGTAAACCCAAGCCCTTGAAGAGTCTAGCGAGTCATCTGTGGTACACAGCTAGACAATATTCAAAATGCAGTTCAGCTCAAAGTGATAGAGCAGGAGGAAAACAGAAGAGAAAGCAAATGAGGTTTGCATCTCCAACTCCCACAGACTTATCAGCTGGAGTGAGTGGCTTAGGAGTGTGTGTGAAAGCATGAGGACCTCAGGTTCCATTTCCTAGGTAATAAGTTCTGCAAGCCAGGATCCTTACCAGAAAAATCTGTCTGTACTTTGTTGTTGATTAGATCTAGATCTTGAGAAGACAGCTACAAGTGGTTGTTCAACTATTCATTCCCACAATTATGGGGAGTTTATACCTATTAATGTCAAGATCTAGTAATTTGTCTTGGTCAGGTTCTTAAATCTCTTCTCATTTCTAGTATAGAGCAAACATCCTTAGTCTAAAATTGTCTACATTTGCTGGCCTTTGAGAGATAGTGTCAAGCTTGTTTTTGAGGAAGATTTTTGGAGTGATTTAGTGTAATTCTTGTGCTCTGGAGAACAGAGGTCTTGGTGGTTCTTGCAGCCTTTTTGAGGCTGACTGCTTAGTATGGGAACTGCGAGGAGATGATTCTGTTTGATCAGTGTTAGTGGTGATGTGGCCTGTGTGATGAGTTGGGCTCTGTATATGGCTTTACAGGCTGTGGTTTTTAATGATCTAAAAGCTTTTGGACAAACCCCGCATCTCTTCTGCTCTGAAATTTCTTATAAAGCTTTCCCTAGCAGAAGTAAAGAATATTCGTGTGAGGGCTGTGCATAATTTTCTAAACAGCTGTAGCTTTACTCTTTGTCCTAAAAATTAGGCAGTGACCACGCTGCTATCTGGGTCTTAGATATGACGCAACCAACCAGCATTGCTACATGATACTCTTCATAGTAAATGACACAGATATGTGAGCACAGTTTGTAGTTCTTACAACCAAAAAGTATAAACCAGGCCCAGGTACTTAACTCACCTTTCCTTTATTATTGCACAGTTAATTCCGTTATTACGGTACAGGATTTTGAGGTTTAATTATCTCATTTTTCTATTTTATATTACTTGTATAGCAAAGTTTTGAGGAGATAATATCATTAATTTCTAAGTTTTGCCTGTAAAGGTGAATTTCCTCTATTTATAGTCCCATTGGTGAAGCCTGTAAATGTTTTCAAATACCAGGGTAAAAGAATCAGTTTGCATTGCACATTTATATTTTTTTCCCATTTGCCAGAGTCCCCCCAAATTCTCCATCTGTCCTTTTCTGCCCACATGTCTTTTTGTTTCTACATGGTGTAGTCTGATTGAACATTACCAAGATATTTTACTTGTAAGGAAGACAAAAGGTCCAGTGAACTAGATAGACAGAGTTTGGGAAGTGGAGATAACACTGGCTGTGCTCTCCTTTTGTCAAATGGTGCAGTAGGCCAGACACTCACTGAGGTTATGAGACTTGGATGCTTTGTCTCACAGGATTTCAACCTCAGTCTCCAAGAGGAAGGTCTGAGCCCCACGCTAATAAAACACTATGGGGGCAGAGATGAGAGGACGGGGAAGTTCTTTGTCCTTCTTGTCCTTTTGCTTTGCAGAAATACTGAAACATCCACTACAGCAAGGACAAGAATCCAGGTGTTTATTCTAGTTCCTAGGCAGGAGAGTGATTCTCTTTCTCTCTCTCTGTCTCTCTCAGTCTGTCTCTGTTTCTTTTCTCCAACACAAACTAGAAGAAAGGATTCTAGCAGCTTCTTCAGACATCCCTAACCTTTAAGCTGAAATGCTCTCTGAAATGTCCTGCTAAAGGAGGGCCTGTTCCACACTGCCTGAAAGTCTTAAGTTGTATTCATTGAGCTGGAGAAGGTGAGAGAAAGGCTCCTGTTAAGGGAGCTGTTCTAAAAGGTGGAATTTCCAGATTTTTATCCTGCTGATAAAGAATGCTTAATTATTTGTGAAACCTGGGACAGTACACATACCCCCTGGCAAGGGGTTAAGCTGTCCTTACGGGAGTTAAGAGTTATGAATTGAACTGGCCAAGGAAGAAACTGAGTTAAGTCTCCTATATCCTGGGATTTGTCCTAACGTCTTCCTGCAACTGCCTAAAGCTAATCCTCATTTAGTGTATCTTCTGTTTGAAAGAACTGAGCAAATCTGACTGAAGATGTTTGGTATAACTGAACCTCCTTTTTTCAACACTCCTAATTGTGATGAAATTTCACCTGGCAATGTAGCATACTACCATCTGCATAAATGACAAGTATGGTGTTTTTTTCTGGTAAAAATGACAGCTTGTTAGTGCATGTACTTGGTCAAAGTTGCAGCTAGAATCTTAGCAAAATCATATTTGTATTTCTGTCAGCACTGCATGATTATCATAGCTGTAGAAGACCAGAGACTAATCTGTTCTGTCTCATGCAACATCAGCAAAATTACCAACTATGTTCTGATTCTGGGTTTCTTTATTGTTGGTGATGAATGATGTACTGGATGAAACAGAAGGAGTACATCTGGATTATTAGATATCATGCTGAGTGCATAATGCTGACACTTAGGAAAATCTTGACTTGTAAGCTAAACACTTTTCATATGGAAGTCAATGACAGATAATAAATAGAGCACCAGGATGTAAATCACTCATGTTCATTACTGCACTTTATATAGTAATATAAGACAATACCAGTACTTTAAGACACAGACTTGTCATCTGCAGCTTTCATTCTGGATGATCCCTACGTGCTCTGCAGATATTGTAAATGAGACCAAATGCTACTATTGAAATATGGGGTTACAATACAATTCTCTAAATAAAAATATGCTATAGGGCACATTTTATGAGAAGGAATCCTTAAGGTAGCATGTAGAAAATACAAGGAAGCCAACAGTTTGAGATTCTTATCGGATGCTGTACTGCATTCATTATGCAGTGATCTCTCATACAGAGGAGAGTTGCATTCGTATTTATGAGAAAGTGAATAAGAAGCCCTTCCCTACCATTATAATAATCAATTTAATGCAGATATGCTGTATATAGGATGAAAATGTCTCCTTTTTAATTCTGTGTTAACTACAAGAGGAAAAAACAGGACAAAATCTATGGATGTGAATCCAGCACTCCAACATATTATTTTCACGATGTTGATTGTTCTATAAACAGCAAAGCAATAAGAATTTTGGAAAATACTATGCATCCTCACATCCCTTTAAGTAATCACTGCTTTCACTGAGGAGAAAACTCAGACTTGAATTTGCTGGAGTCAGTCTGAGCAGTGGTTTTCCTGGATGTGGAAGAATAAAATCAGAAGTGATTAAAGGTGGGAACTGAGGGGAAAATCAGGGAACTTCTATTGAGCAATCCTAAAATTGTTTTCTAGTTCATTACCATTGGCATTCTAATTACCGTAACAATTAGAGAAGTGCCAGCTTTGAAGTTTTTCAGTGTTCGGGGGATTTAGGAATCGAGATTTTGGTTTGGTCTCATACAGAATAGCAAATAAGTGTATAAATAACTTTTGCTGTCAGCAGATAACTGACACTAGTAGTGATCATCATTGTTTCTAAAGGGGTTATCATGCAGTTAACTTGAAAGACTGATTGGTATTTCACAGTAGCTCTCTAAATAATTTGTCTTACTACCATAGCAAGTACAAACTGTAACACTTGTGATTCATCTGCAGAACACACTGCTTGCCAGTTGTTTTACTCAAAGTGCTTTGGCAGCGTGATCTGTCAGAAAGAAAGGTCAACAGCAAGATTAAAAAAACAGGGATTACACTGCAGTTGTCCACAGAGGGTAACTTACTCCAGAGACTCCATGGCTTTTTGCTTATCTTTGCATGTTCTCTGTCAGAAGGGCTAACAGACCTTGTGAAAAGTTCCCTTGTTGACGACAGATCAGGGTAAACCATTATTTGCTGTGTTAAGCCTGAGCTGGCGGGACAGCTATGGAGGGCTCTGTGGCCAAGGTGAGAGTAGCATAATTGCCTACAGACAGAAAGTTAGCTAGCAGTCCTTAGTGTGTCCTACTGTTGTCTGAGGGTGGCTGAACCCGATTTACAGTGATTTCAACCTCAAAATATTATTTCGTTTTTTATTTCTTCCTTAATTTTGTAGACACTGCCCAGACCCAGTGAATTGATTGATTCCAGTTAAGAATGAACTGATATTTAGTTCCTTGAACTGCCTGAAAGGCTTGTTATTTTGCTAAACTCTAATAATGCTAGGCCTAAAGTTCGGTGTAAGCCAGTAACAGCTACCAAAAACTTTGTTAAGGTCCTAACAAGTCCCTGTCAATTCATATAAGTCGGGAGATTTGGAAAAATAGGTTTAATGCTAAAAATTGAGTACTGCATTTTAGTTCAACCAAAGTAAAAACAGAAACGATTTCTTAAGCAGTTTGATTACTTCACCTCTTAATTTGTGGTAAAAATATAATGTATGAATGTGTATGTGTGCTATAAGTTGAGCAACTTGTAAGGTGAAAAAATGAAATCCAATGTACAGAAGCTTCCATGAAAAGAAAAAAGTTTTACATTCCTACTGCTCTCTAATAGAGATGATGAGAAATGAAAAATGCTACTCAGTCACAAAGTAAACCTCTGCAACTGCATCCTCTCATACTTCCTATTTAAGACTCCAGTCTGCTATTCCAAACCAGTACTTACCACAAAACTTTACTCTGCAAGGTAGTGTAGCAGCTCAACCACACAAACACCCTGTGTTTCACAAGTCATAATACATATCTTGTTCGTGAGTGACATTTTTTTTAATAACACTCAGTTTTCTTACCTGCTGACTACTTTGTTGATTAACATCCTCTCTGAAACGCAGTTTTCTTTCCAGGTCCTTTACAAGTGCAGCTTTATTTTCCCGAATGGAATCATCTGTTGCTAATGGCAGAGGCTTCACATTTTTCTTTGTTAATCCCTGGGTTGGGCTATTAAAAGAAAATTCTGATACTAACATGCAGCAACCACTATATATATTTTTTTGTTATTTGTGTGATATGATATGTTACACTTCAGTTGTCTGAAGGAACCTATCATTTATTTATGTAGAAGCCAAAGCACAATATGAGATTTGATTTTTTGGTACTATTTTAATGGTGTCTCCCATTCCCATGCCAGTAGGAATTAAGGACACACATCTTAAAGAGAATAAGCATTATAATACTATAATAAGCATCTAAGTTCCATGATATTTATCCTGGAATAATGATGTCACAATGAATGCTAAAGAAATGTGTATAGGTGTTACCACAGGTATACAATTTGTACATTTTACTGTATCAGGCAATAATTTAAAAGTTAATACAATTTCTTATTGATCTTTGTCTCATATCTTCATTGATCATTTACTCTTCCCATGAACTTTTACTTCTTTCATTTCTCTCACCCTTTTATGACAGCTTACATCAACAGTTCTTTTTATTTTTCTTTTATAGATGTAGTCTGTTTTATTTTAGTAAGGTTTGAAAGTAGTTGAATTCTTAAATAAGACTCTTCGGGAGACTGTGAGAGTGCACTGCTGAAGCACAGCAGCCGCACGCTACTAGAGAGTGTACAACGTTCTAGTAGTTTACCAGGAGTTGGCATCTTAATAACAGGGGGTCTAGGTAAAAGGCATAACTAATGATTGCTGTGCAAGCTATCTTCCTTTTGTTGTTCTGCAGACATGGTGATCTCTCGCTGCTTTTGTAACCAGAATTATTTTAATTGATAATGCCAAAAAAGGAAGCTGAAACTTCAATAGATATTCACAGATCAGCACAGATATTGTTCAGGTTCCTTCCTGATCTTTTGTGCTCTCACTTTGACTCTCTCCCATGTGGAGATCTAGATTTGAATCTCAGCACAATGAGCTCTAGTTATGTGGGAAGTCAGCTCTGGGCTGGGACCCAGGAAAGGTGAAATGAAGAAAACAATATTTAACTACTCTACTTGGTAGGCATTTAGGATTTAGGTAGGTAAGGATTTATTTGGTAAAGCCTGTACAACAGTTAGAAAAAGTAAAGGACTTTGCAAGGGTTAAGTGCCATTAATGAAATGAGAACAGCGTGCTTGAGCACTTGTGCACCAGCTCTGAAGGCGGGAGGAAGGCGAGTGGATGAGTAGTTGCAGTTGATTTTTGCTTGCTGTTGGTATAGTTAAAACCTTCACTGTGAACCTTATAACTTAATTATGTGTGCCTGCCCATAATGCCAGGGCCATGAAGGCCTCCAGGCATGTGCCAGAGGGTGATGGTGATTATGTGGCTGTGCTGGGGAACTAGGAGGTCTGAGAGTAGGAGTGCAATAATGGTTTAAAGGCAGGATTTCTTGGCACACAGAGTGGTGAATGTTATGTATACAGGGACACTTTTTTCCTGTTATAATTACAGATTGGTTGATGTGGTATCACCAAAATAGTTACGAGATCATGACTTACTGATGGCTATCACTGCCTTGAAGTGTACCATTGGTAAAAGGGGGAAATATTCCTTGCTTTGTGCAGAATTTGGAGTTCTATGGATAAAAAGTTGTATCAATCTACTGGTGCTAGCCATACTAACATAGGGTTCACCTATTCCACAAAAGGGATATTAATTTCAATTCTGCTAGTAGAGAAGGAACTCTTAAGGTCACAACCTTTCCTTATCATCATCATCCTTATTTGCTTGTATAGTGGTAGCCATTTTGTCACAGAAATCATGCTGGCTATCAATTAAAATATTTATGTGCAAAAACATTAAATCTCCTGAGATTTTCTGGGGGACTTTAAATATAGAAAGTATTGCAACCAGAAAAATACCTTTACGTAAGTTATTTCTTAGATTTACCTGGACTAAGAAATAACTTAGATTATGAGGTACCTTTTAAAACTTTACTCGTTGCTTACAATAGGTAAGAATGTTTTTATAGCTCATATAGGCAAATGGTCTTAGAGTGACTTATCCTGCAAGCTCATGAAATCTCTTTTACATAGTTATGAATCTCTGAGCCCCCAAATTCTTGTATATATCTGTTTATAAACTCCCATTTCTCTATCTTGAATTTATCTTACCCTTGATGCATCTTATTATAGAAGCTACTATCCCTTCCTTTCTTAACTGAAAGTAAAGGTTAGTGGAAATGACCAGAATATATGAATAACTTGCTTTTCTATTTTATGAATTACTTGCATTTCAGTAAACTCTCCACTGAACCCTTGAACAGAAATACATCTTAGTTTCCTTTACGAGTATTTCTTGCCCCTGCTTCTGCACGTATGATTTATGCTACTTACGTGGCTGGTGTACTTCTGGGCAGTCCCATAGCGTTGGTTGATGGCACCGTAGGAAGTGAAGGAAGAACAGCACTAAGGAAGGCTACTGGATTCTGAATCCGGCCAGTTGGGGAGATAGGAGCAGGAGCCACGCTCTGTGGCTGAAACTGTTTTACACTAGATGTAGAAAGTGTTAACGGAGGCACCATGGATTCTTTAGGGCTTGGTAGAGACTGTTCACTTTTGCTTGTAAACCCTCCTGAAGACCTTGACTGGGCAGGTGGAGGATTTCCTGCGAAATTTTCCTTGTTATTTGTTCTTTGAGTTCCTTGAGGGACGTTGCTGAATGTCGTAACTGAGGAGCTAGAAGAGGAGCTGGTAGGCGGTGTGGTTTGTGATGGTAGGAACTGCTTAGGTCGGGTATAGATGAATGCTTGTGAAGCAGAGGCTTTGCTTTGTTTGTACATAGTTGAGGTGGACTGCTGATGGAGCGAAGTAGCAGAATTCAATAAAGCTGTGTTGAATGACAGCTCTTTTGTAGGTGTCTGATGCACCTGCTGTTGTTCAAGCAAGACTTGGTTGTGGAGCTGTTTTAACTGGGTCTGATCACTGCGTATGAAACAAAGATGAGCAAAATTGGTCATGAGCCCTGAACGTGCTGGCTGACTACATTTCCGTATGTGAATTGCAAGAGAAAAATGCTATGATGTCTTGTGATACAGTAAGAGGTAGGGGAAACTGCTACATGACATATTCTCTAACATTATGAGAAGAACATAATATTAGTTTGCTATTAAAATAAACTTTTCCTTCCTCTCCCCTTCTTTGCCAGAGGCACAAAAGCTTTTTGTCTGAAAATTATTTGACTGAAGATGATTCTTACATTTTAACACAGGAAATATAAATATAAATCTTATTTGAAGATATTTAAGGGATAGCATTGTCAATTTCTGCTCTACGTCACCTTAGAACTTCTCTGCTTGTATAAATAGGAGTAGGATTTGGTTTATCGATTTTAAATGAGCATTTGTAAGCCAGATTGCAGTTATTTGGCCCCTCTGAAACCAGTGTTTTGACTAATAAAGCTTTGACTCCACCAGAAGAGATATTACCAACATAGTTTAGGTGGTGTTGACATTTGGTGACAGGCAGGAGTGCCTCATTCAGAGAGGACTTGTGTTTCATGCAATTGTTGTTCCCTAGATGCTATCTACTACATATGTCTTCAGGGCTTTTTTACTTTGCAATTAAGGAAAATTATTTTGCCTTGTCAAGTGGTTTATTTAGTTATTATGTATATGGAAATACAGCATATGGAAAACAGGCTAACTTTTCCCTTTCCAAAACCAAAAAGGACGTAGAGGATATGGAAAATGATCATGTAATAAATTGTCAAGTATTAAATGACTATTGTTAAAAAGTGAAAAATGCAGAAGTAGAGACCAACCACAACTGGTACTGACAGGCCAAATACATGAAGTCAACAGAACTTCTTTTTATTTAAAAAAATTATTGTTTCTATAATGTACTAAACAAAAATCACATTAAAGGTAGATAAAGATAGCAATTTCAAGCTTTCAAAAAGTAGGATGTTAGAGAGTTAGAAGTTGCGCAGTCCTGATTTTGTGTCCTTCATATACACATTTGCATAGTAATGCACGCCTTTGTTACAGTTTTTTTGGAGAACAGTTTTGAGAGGAATTCCGCTTTATGCAAGCATTGGGCAACTTAAATACTGCTTCTGCTCTGCCCCTAAACAGACTATAGCTCTGAAAGTAAATAGGGCTGTGAATATGGGCTTAACAAATTAGAAAAACACTGCTCCAAGTTCTTCCTCTGCTACATGGTATGTAAGTTCTGTCTTCTCACTTGCAATGTTTATGCTCTGAAATTACATCCCTGCTGAAGAGTACCAATGAATTACTTTACTTTATGAAGTACTTCCTGAGCCTTTGGTTAAAGCTTCTGCCTATTTAAGAAATGAAATTAAGGACTCTGCATGCTTTTTGTTAAACTAGATTTGGGAGGTTTCAAAAATGCTGAAAAGATATTTCTTAATAAACTGCAGTGTGAATTCCATAAATTGTCCTCTAAGAAAACTACACTACTTCTTAAAATTTCCCCTTGAGCTCACAGTGCACTAATCATGCAGGTGCTTTTTAGTTTAAGCGGTTTCACATTTTCAAACATTTCAAAGTATTTTATCTGTTTTAGGAGGAGGTTACATTTGTGAGACATAAAAGTCATGAGGCATGGCCTTTGGGACTACAGTTGCTGGCTAGTCACTAGCCCATACTATGTATGAGACTGAATATGTCTGGTTTTGGCAAAATTGCATAGTCAGAATTGAGCGAGAGATATTTGAAGAACCTGCTTTTATTTTGCCTGCATAAAAGCAGTGTTGTTCGCCTTTTGTTTGCAGCAGAAAACATTGTGGAATTAAATACAATTTCAAAGGGAAAACATTTTCCTTTTAAATTTGGAGAACACTTTTCCCAAGAGGGATATACAGAAAAAATATCTAGCTCTGTAGAATATGTTTTCTAAGAGTATGGTTAATTATGCCAGCACCATGTGATACTAGCTTTTTGTTCTGTGTTTGAGTTTTTTGCTCTAGTGCAATAGTGTCCTGGTCTATTGATACTAAATAATATCAGTGATGCTCCTGAGACTTAGAATCCCTTTTACTTACAGCTTTGGCTTAGCCAGTACTGGGGGGGGTTCCTTGGATGGCGATGTTGGCTCTGGTATTTTCATTGGCTGTCCGTTTATCCTCTCTTGGAAATAGTTGGGTCTGATTTGGTTTGTAGCGCCAGGTCCATCCTCTGGTGATGATTCACTTCCTTTATCATCTTCAGGCAGCTTGAAGTGCACACGGAGACCTATCTTGGAACTCGATCTGGGTTCATTGTGGTTCACAAGAACACCTTCAAGCTTAGGTTTGGGGGTTTGATTTACTACACGATGGGAAGGAGTACGTGGGGGAGGTTGATGTTCAGCAGCAATTAAGTTGATTGAGCTCATTGTGTGAAGGTTAGCAGCATTACTACTGTCTTCAGATGCTGAAATAGCAAATATCAAACTTTTGGTGATATGTAAATACCATAAATTATAGTGAAATGAAATCACAAGAGTTACAGTTGGAAAAACTTACTCTGATGTCCTTCCAGCTGTTGGACTTGGTTGTTTGACCTCATTTGTTTAACAACAAATTCCCTTAACAAAGGAATATTGTAAAGGCGGGGGAAAAAGAGACACAGTTCTAGTTTGGAAGACCCAGCAGTGGTCTTCAGCCATGTCCCCTGTGAATTCCACCAGCATCTTTGAAATACAAACTTTTTTTTCAGAGAATTCTCTTAACTTTTTAGTTATGAAGAACACCGCCAGAACTTGAGCTGAATTGGAGTCAACAGTGCACTATGCTTTTATGTACTGTACTTTGCTCACCTAACTGCTTAGTGCATTGGCAGCATAAATCGTGTAAGCAGTATGAAAGAATCTGTTTTGAGGTTTCCTCTTTTGGGCTCTGCACCAAAGGGTTATTGAAACAGCAAACTAGACAGTCCATACAGATTCCAAAAATGGCTATTGTCCAAATCTTGAGGTCAGCAAGAGTTGTGGTTTTGGAAGGGCTGTGTGGGATTCATTCCCTAACGTTCCTTGTTCGTTCACGTTTCTAATTGGGGAAGGACACTTTGAGAAGACATAGCAATCTGTATGTTCAATAAGCAGCTTGGACTGTACAGTGCAACAGCCTGCTCTGCTTGTATTTACTAGCAAGCAAAGGACTAAAACAAACTCTTACCTTTGACAGTTAGATGAGCTATGCTAGATACTGTGCCGTATTTATTGCTTGCAGTACAGGTGAAACTGCCAGAATCTTCTGAAAATACCTCAGCAATAACAAGAGTACAAATTTCCTCTGCAAAGATCAGAGCAGTATTATTACTTGAAGTGAACATGCATTGAACAAACACATGAAGCCTTGACTACCCTCGGGGACATTTCCTTAAGGTTTTCCACCTTGCTCCATCTGATTTTAGTTTCATCAGTATTATCAAATTTGGCAGCCTTTGTGTGCAGCAGCTGTTATCAGCATTGTCTGCAGCAACTGGTACCCTCTGTGCTCCAGCATGCCCAACGAAAGTGAAGAACAGGTGTCAGCAGTGTTTGGAAAACATTAGAAAATGTTTTCCTAATCACATGAAGTACAGACTTTCTGAAGAACTTAAAATTTAATTTGGAGAAATACAGCATACTCTATACTCACAACTCACTAAAATAGATGTATTTTTTTCTCTTTACAGGTTGAAAGATTAGTTATAATTAACTGGGAACAATTCAAGTGTAAGATGTAGAAATACAAAACACATACATACAGGCTGGCATTTTCCAAAAGTACCAGTGCAGATTTGCGGATAGAGGGGATTGTGCTAATTGTGCTTACAGAAAGTTGCCTTTTCACTTCTTTGTGAAGAAGACTAATGGGCACCAAACGTGTGCTAGCAAAATTGTACTAGCAAAAATTAAATTCCATCTTGAAAAGTCAGTCTGGGGTTATGACATTCCTGTCTGACCAGTATCTGACATGTCCGGGCAGGAGTACCAGCTAATAAATACCTCTGGTGATGGGATTTTAAATCTTTCATTTAGCTGGGTAGCTGGGATGGGGAGGGAGAGTAACATCTAAAGCGTATTGGAATGTGGGCTGATAGCATTTCTTCAACTAGTCAGTGACTATTTTGCTACTATTTTGCAAGAAACTTTCCTAAAGCCCCACAGGATTAATATTTTATGAGTATTTCTGTAGAAGACCATACCACACTTAAACTTGATTGTTTCATGTCATCACTGAGGAAAATCTAGTAGCAACAAAGAGATTATTTGCTAACAACTATAGGAGAATAATAGTTTATTATAGTACTAGGATTATAGAACTAGTTTAAGGCATTATAGTATCTAGTTTATAGTACTTGGATTTGCCAACCACTGCATGCATGGAAATCCAGATTCCTTCTGAATGAGCAGCAGGTGATGAGGCAGTGACAACTGCACCCAACTGATTACCCTCTAAAAACTGCTTCACATTACTCAGCAGTGATGCCACTGGACAGTAAAGGAACGGCATTGGTGGGTTCTGGTAGAAGCTCCATTTATTCATTCTTAAGTCTGAGCGAAAGACATTGCAGAGAGAGGGAGTCTCTTTCAAGACACTTTTTGCGGTAAAAAACTTTCAATAGGGCAAGGAGACGAGTTACAGAAGTTTATATTCCATAAGAATTAATACTCCTTTGGTAATTCGCTGTCTGAAGAGGAGCAGCTTTATATTTTCAATAGTGAAAAGTGTAACGGGGAGAGTGATTGTCTCATGGAGAAGGAATCAAAATCTATAAGGCTCCTTTGCTCAAATTATGCAGAGTAGCCTACGTTCTGCTCTGACCCTTGAAATAGTAGCAAATCCAGCCACTTTTATAGGATTTGCTGATATCAGGGGTGGAACACCTGATGTGATACTCTCATATTACGCTGGTAGGGAGCAAAGGGAATGGCTCACATGGCTAAACATCTGATGCAATGTTCCCTAACTGGTAAACTAGATAAAAATAGCTCAGTCCTACATCATCTTGTGTACTTCTGAACCTCAGATATACAGGGCACCCTCATACATTAATTTTGCTAATCTTTAGCTCATAAGGTGGTAACGTTTAGGTCCTAAGTTGGAACTGGGTCAAAGCAGAATGGGAACATTATTTTCTTCAAAAGTGATAAAATTAATTCAAATTACATGTTTATGGAACAGTCTACAGTGAAATGCATCTAACTAGTAGCTATAGAACATGGGGAAAAGAAGGAATTATGTTAATTAAATTATGGAGTTTAAATAATTAATATTTTGTGAGGTTAAATCACCACATTTGTATAATCAAAAAAGTGTGAGTCTTTTGATGGTCCTCACCTGGTTCAGCCATAGACCGTGGTTCTAAAGGGAAGGAGAGCAGAATTAGTAGATTGAATAGACTTACTTTTGCCAATAATTTTTTTTTTTCTTAAGCACTAAGTATGAGCTTGCTCTTCTCAATATGACGCAATACTCCTTTTGATCCAATTCTCTGTTTAAGGGGTGGTGGAGACAGCCAGGCCTTGTACTCAATGGTATGTCAAACACACTGAACAATATGAACACTTATGAACACTTTTGAGAACTTATGAATAGGAAATAAATTCTGCAAGAAGTATTTTTTTGCAATCTTAGTACTACTTTATTGTGTCTTGAAGACAATTTCTGAAACTATTACATACATGAAATCAAGTTGTGATAAAACATTGTTTCATTTAGGTTTGATTTAATGTAGTATTTAAGGAATTTCTATTGAGTTTTAGCAATTTTAGCATTCCAGTGACTTATGAGGAAACTGCAGATGTTTTGACTGCATTTGAAAATTAAAGTAGAAGCATATGTTTACAACCTATCACGTGTCATGTGCATACACATGTATGTGTAAGCATGCTAGCATGTACATTAGGTTGCTTTTGTGGATAAATAAGCAATCCGCTGCCCATAAGCACTATTGTAATACCACTTAACTAAAAGATGAGGGATTTATGGGCAATGGAACTCTACATAAATGGTGCAAAACCAAAACCAAATGGCAGAAGTCAGGCTGAATTAGATAAGGACATTGAAGTGGCAAAGGGATCAAAGCAGAAATTCAGTAGTTTGGGGAATCTCAGACAAATACTATCTGTGAGTATGCCATTCAATTCATCCACAGTTTTGGCTTCTGGAACCCAGATTTATTGCCCTAAATATGGCTTATATAGTTCTTACCATTGTAATAAGCAATTCAACGTGTTGCTATGTTAGCAATTTTGTTGCTTGCCTATATTTTATTAGACACAATATTTCCACACAAGAAACATACTTTTCTGTAATATCCTAAAATCTGGAGAATCTTCTATCAGTGTTCCTTCTCTATACCATTCAACCTTTGGGGAAGGAGCTCCTTTCACCCGACATTCAAAGACAACAAGCTGCCCCTCAGAAGCTGAAATATCCTGTAACATCTAATAGAGAAAATGAATAGACAGTCAGTAAATGTCTTATTGGTCTGGAAGTAATACTGATTTCAGTAAGATTTCATAAAGCCACTTAAATCCTTGAATGGCTGAAGAAATGCATAATTCCTTTTTTTATCTTTGGTAGCTAAAAAAAATAATTATCTGTCCATACAATTAATTGACCTCTTTAGTTTTCAAATATGTCACAGAACAAATTACCTTTGTAAATACAGGAGCGGCAATTATAGGTCTTCCATCCAGTCCTTGCAAATAGTTAGTGGGGCTTTGAGCCTGTAGATTGCAAAACATCACATGATGGTGTTTAGGTGTACAGAGGATATTTTTCCACATGCAGGAGAAACATGTCTTGGAATGACAGAAAAGAGATTTTGGTGGGTGAAGTCCAAAGCAAAATATTTAATGCAATGAATAGAAGCTGCTCTGTTGTAGACAACTGGTAGCAATCTTCCTAGATGGGTTACTGCCTGAGTAACAAAAATGCTGTTATTGCCTTATTGAGCTAATCATGGCAAGGAAAACTTCACTGCAGTGTATTATAACATCTGGCATTAATACTTCACTAAGGCAAATTTATGTAGGCTGCTTGGTGGTAGTATCCTTTTAAGAACTCTTACTTACAAGATGTTTATGGATGTTAATAAGGAAAAGTTAAGTCAAGTCATATGTGTGGCTGCTGCTGTAATTCTTCTCCTTTGCCAAACCCAAATAATTTACAGAGGTGGAATATCACCCTATTGATCCTCCTCAGTGAAATCAGAGTAAAATTATTCTCCCCCTGGAAAACTTCCTTATATAACTTGATTAACAGAGGTTTTCATTTTAGTGAAATAGAAGCTGCCCCAGAACAGCAGAATTAGTGATTCAGTATCTCAGGAGACATAGTCAAATTTTATAGATGGTGTCTTATAAGCCAACAAGATTAAAAGTGGTAATTTTTGAGATAACTATCACTCTTGACTTAGGCAACCTCTGTCAAAATGGCAAAATGTCGCAAAGGCTTGGTTCTATTCTCTTTGTAGTCAAACGTAAACGTGCATTACTTCACCTATTCAGTATCTGTTTATTGGTTACCACCTAATTCTAGGCTGTAAACATTGAAAAGGCAGTGTAAAGCGAGTTTCTCATTAACTTTTCAGTTTTGAGTAAACATGGCTCTTTATTCCTATTGGGTAAGAATTCACAGTTATGAGTATTCTGATAGTTTGCAACAAAAAGGACTCGAAATGCTTGCTAACTTTAATTAGAAGCTCTTTGATATGGATATTAAAATGTGATGTGGTAAATAAGCATATCTACAAATAAAGTAAACGTAGTAGTGAAATGATTTAGCTTAAAATAAGTTTCATAGAAAGAAAATGATTTCAAGTGAGTTCTGTAGAAAGGGAGAGGAAAAACTTATAGGCTGCCGCTATTGAAAGTGAATGAGTCAGTCTGCAATGTCAAGAGGCCAGTGAGTTGACTTACACATCCAAGTGCCCTTCACGGCATGCAGTCTCTGACCTGCTGGAGTGCGCACAGATTCCCGCCGCTGGCTGAGCTAGCAGCAGCTGCTCCTTCTGCTCACTGCCGCCGAGACGCCTGTAACCTGGGGATGAAAGGTTCCCTTCCCTTTGCCAGGTGCTAAAGGTTAGCTAGTAGGCAGGACATCTCTTCTGTATATGCAACTACTGTATGGCTGTAAGGCTCAAACCTGAAGTTCAACAGGAAAGCGAAAACTAGAAAATTTGGGGGTTCTGAGTCACAATCTGTAGAAGAAACACCTTTTTAAGAGCTTGCTTTTGGTGCTTGAAATTCACCGTATTGTCTCCCTTACCTGATTAACTGGTGTTGACACAGGCTGGACAGGTACAGACGCAGGCTGAACCATGGCAGATGGTGCCTTGGAGGTTTCTTGATGCTTGGTTGCAGTTCTAACAGCAGGAGATGCTGCATTCAAGAAGGTGTCAGCTGGCTTTGGTTTGCTGTGAAATAGTAACCAAAAACAAGTTCTCTAATTGGAAGCTAGAGCTATGTGTGTGTCTCTTAGTTATGTCTGTCCCAGTTACGTGTCAACCCCAGCCTCGCTTCTGGGATTGAGTTCCAGTTGATCTAAACTGATGCATACTCCTAGGTAAACTGCATTTTATAAGCATCAGGCTGCATGTCTTGCCACTCTAATCTCTCATACTTAGTGCAGTTACACCAAGTGTAATAAATGGCCTGGATTAACCCAACTGTGGCTTGAAAGCTGCTGTTACCAGCTCTGAGCAGCATGAGAGAGCGATGCTAGTTTCTCAGAGCACAATGCTAGTTTCTCTTGCGCTGCTCCTTGATCTTGTATGAAGATTTGGGCCTATAAGGTAATGAAAATACCATGGTCTGCTTGGATATAGATTCAATAATTTACTGCTGAAAAATAAAAAATGAGAGGTATGCTTTCTGACCAACATATCATGCAATTTTGGTAGTGTACAGGTTGGCACCTCTTCACTCCTTCTAGGTTGTTACTATATGGAAGGAAAAGAGTTGACCCTGTTTATTTTTATTGCGAAGTAAAATAATGCAGACAATGAAGAGGTGGTCTTTTTATTCAGTTTGAGGTACGCACTGGCTGCTTTGGAATGTACCACAGGTCCCCCCAGGAAAGCCAGCCTTCAAACTGGAGGAAGCCTTACTCAGAGTGAACATACAGTTGTTAAGATCACTGATTTCTCTTTTGAAATTGTGAACTTCTTTTTGCACCTGTTCTCATATTAATTCCCTTTTAATTACAGGTATTCAGATTCATGTGACGACAGCTGGAAGCTAAGCAAAAATAAAGACACTCTGATTATACCCAAACCTGATCTTTCATAATTCTATCATTGGAGGACATCCCGCTACAATGTCAGAGCAGTGTTCTTTTTTTTTCCTAAGAAATACAGAATGCAATACATTACTTCACAATTTAATGAGGTAAGCAACTTAGAGATGCCATCAAGTGATCAGGATCATGGTCAACACTACATTAACACCTAATGAGATGAATAAAAAAAACCATTATGCCTGAGACATTTGGAAAAATCTGAGCTAGAACTATGAAAAATGTAGCAATTCATCCCAAAACCTTTGAGCTCATGTTGATCTCAAGTTTTATATTAAACCCTTATATTTATCAAAGTCCACAAACCAATCCAGTCTGGAGTATTTTATGACTGAAGTAAAAATCACCTAAGGGAGGATTTGCTGTCAGCCTGAGGTCTTCAGTCAAATACACTGTAGTGTTTTGTATTTGCACTTTAAAAGAAAATGACATTTGTAATGAGTATAACCCTCCTTGATAAATAACGGAAAATAACCAGGTTGCATAAGTCTATATGATTAAAATTTCCTCTTTATAAAGCACTGGTTGCTTTTGGGATTGAATTAATGCAGTTCAAAATAAACGATTGATTATTTTAGTTTTCAACCAGTCTGATGCCCTTTCCAGTTAATAGAAAGACTTTGATTCTAAAAGACTAGATTTTAACAGCACTGGATGAGGTTCTAAACACACAGGGAATGGATTTCATTTAGGAAAAATACAATTATTTCCTAGGTTTTAGATTGCATCTGACACATTTTCTTTCTTTTTATAATTAAGTCTTTTATTCCTGTCATTTCAGTTTACTCTAATTAATATGTATTAATTTCCTTATCTTAAATCTAAGTAATCCAGGTATAGCCATCTTCTGCCAAAAACTTCATGACATGCCATATTTTCATGTGAGAAATTTTACTACACTGTTTTTCCAAGTCAGATGCTTAAACCAACCCATTTAAGTTGGGTCTAGTCAAATGGCATCTGTTTTAGTAAATTAATTTTAGTAGCTTAATTGTGAAGGTAACATATTTCTTCTTATGTTTATATTTAATATTAAAGTTTCAATTCTTAAGCTAAAGCTGAAGACACGCAAGCAAATGTGTATTTGTTCCATACTATTTGTAAAGCAAACAAACAAACACACCAACAAAACCCAACCCAAACAATCCAAACAAATCCCAAACAAAAGCCTAATATGTTGGAAGTTGCAAAATATTAATGGAAACTGAAATGTCTACACTTGTGGGTTTTTTTAACTGGAACTATGGAAGATGTAATTGATTTTAAACTTACTGATCCATTTCGTCTTTGATTATTTCACCTTCAGAGTCAGAAGAAGAGACTCCTATGAAAAAGAAAAGAAAATCACTTAGCAGAGGTCTTTTTGGAGAAGTTTATCTATGAATGATACAAACCTTCATTCAAATTTCCTCTAGAGCATTTTAAGGATATATATTATAAAGCTATGGTGAAACAAAAGATTACACTGCAGTGGAAATGAACCAACGTTGCATACTCTGTAAGATGCAGAACTGCTATTGGCATGAGGCAGATTTGGGATGAGGTGCGACTGAAATGAGGAAAAACAGCATCCAAGAGTGAATGTATACTTGGGTCTTCCTCAGGTTCTCTTTAAAATGCCACTACTATGATTTAGTCTGTAACTGCTGTTGTGAATCAACTAAGAGCTTTTTTTTCTCAGATACCTGATACTACCAGTTTAAAAAAAAAGGGAGGGGGAGAAAAAAAGAGAGATAGACCTGGAATCATAGCTATTATTCTTAAACTAGTGCCTTGTAGCAGAGTTTGGAGAAGATACTAGCTTCGTTTACTAACAGCTGTCCTATGATACATTTTACACTTCTGATTCAGCCTTCACTGAGTTTGGAATTTGCATTTTCTCTGCCGTTCCTCCCAGTGAGCATCTCCATCATCCATGGCTTCCATCCAGCATCCACTGAGTTAGGTAAAAGCAGGCCTTGACCCCAGTCTTGAGAACTAGTAAATCCCTGCCAAGCACAGACATCTCCCATTAATGTCAGGGGCAGTGCAGATACTAAAAAAGGATTCGTCCTTTCACTGTCAGATTAGAGACATGAAAGAAGAATAACAGTAGAGCAAAATTAACCTCGTATCAAGTAGGGTAGGTGCTTTAATTTATGAATGGTCCCACTGTTGTCAGTGATGGTACTCATAGTATATTTCTCTGCCTGAGAAATGGAAAAAAGACAAAAGAAAAAAAAAGATTCCATGTCTTTATTTTAAATTTGTAATCCTGCTAGCACAATGATGGATGCAATCTAAAACCTTACCCCCCAAAAAATGTTAAAAAGAAATATAATAAACAGACCTCTCTTAAGCCAAGTAGGATATATTAAAAAGCATAAGGAGAAAGAAGAGAGACCTAAATCTGCAGATATATATTCTGTTTACAGCTTCTATTGTGCAAGTAAAATATCAGATTGCTGGCATATTTATTTTGGTTACAAGGTCCCAGTAACGGGTTAGGATGAAGCTATCCTGTATTCAATTTGTAATAATGTTTTTTGGAAAAGGGATTAATGAGAATTAGACACAAAATTTAGGTTCTTGTATTTCTGTAGAGTAACTATGGACAAAAAATATAAGGTGGCATCAGAATCTGAATATTTCTAGACTTCAGTCTTGCAGTGAGATACATAAAATCTCTGGGAAGCAACAAAATAAAATTATATATAAAGGGCAGTCACTTGTCTGAAGGGTGTTTTACAGAGAAATAATAAATATGTTAATAATGATGAAAAGTGTTGACTCCCTGCTATGTATTTTTTTGTGACAAATCTGTTACACAGTTAACATACAAAATACATAATTGTATCTTAATCCTGTATGACCAACTTAAAGAACCAATTTCCGCAACAATTCTAACATTACCTTCTATGTAAATCTCTGCAGAAGTGGAGTCTGTTCCATAGATGTTTGAAGCAAAGCACGAGTAACGTCCTGTATCCTCCTCAAAAGCTTCAACAATAACCAATGAGTGCTGATCACCTGTCTGGATAATTTGAATGTCTGGTGAGTTTTCGAGCTCCTTCCCTTCACAGTACCACCTGCAAGGCAAAAAATATTGTTTATCAGCGCAAACAACTTAACAACTAGAATGACAATGTTGGAAGTCTTTCTGATGATAAAATGGGTGGGTTTTAGCCTGAAGATTCTGACAGAGTACTGCAGCTAAATGTTGAATCAACAGTCATAGGAATTAAATATTTATGATTTTCATAATCTTCAATTACAGCAAATAATAGAGCTCCTTTCTTTGCAGTATTTAAACATACTAACAAACTAGTTTATGTAAGTGATTCTAGCACTTATTTTTCTTGACATACAGATTTCAGTAGTAGAGTAGAAGAGCTCTGAATTTGGAACGCTATCAATCCAGCTCTGAATTTCTCTTCAAGTACATTCAGATCTGTGTTGTGACTTAAGCTGTAGCAAAAAAAAAACCCCAAAAACGATCTAAGTAAACAAATTTCTCTCAAACTTGTGATTCCAAAGTTCATGTTGATTCAGAATGTGACTGAAGTTTACTATAATGTTACACTTTGTTTTGTCATACATTTAAGACGATCTGCTTTTTATAAAAGATGGCATAAGTGCATCACAGGGAAAGAGAAATGCTCTATTACAATATACAGGCACGTCCTTACAGGGACATAGCCAGTGAGACAGCTGGACCTTGAATTCTTTTCTGCATCATAGTGCTGTATTTCTCTTTTAAACCCAGCTACATATCCAAGAATATACTGGGCCCTTTAGAGACTTCACACTCTCATCTAAGGCATTTCTAAGTCCTTCAGTGTTCAGAAGAGTTGTTTCAGTAGAAAATGCAGGAATCCAAGCAAAGTAAAATCAGCACCTGAAAAGACAGCTGCATAGGATGTGTTAATCACCGTAACCATGAGCTCAACCTGAGAGCTAGTAGGAGTGCAGAGCAGGCCTGATTGCTACTGCTTGTTAATATGGAAAAGACAGAACAGAAAGAGAAAAAGCAGGTGGGTTTGCAGAACCAGATTCAAATTTAATACGACAATCTAGGTTTTATAGAGAAGGTGTAGTACTATGCATAGGATCCAGAGTTAAATGTTTGGGATAATACCTGTATTTTTTAGATGACTAGCTAAATTTGAAAAGCCAAACTAAGGTGCATTCATCTTCACCATAACTTTCTCATAAATATAGATAGATATAAAACTCCACAGAAATATTTGTATTTTCTGTTTACTGCTGCTTTCTTAACTAGGTATGGTTGATTAATGCATCTTGTGCATGTGTGGGCTGTCATACTGATAACATTTTTTATTCAATTGATTTTTTAAAATGAATAATTGCTTCATCCATCTTTATATGGTAACTGGGTAAAAGTACCTGCTGGCTTTTGAGTGCATGCAAATGCTATCAAAGCAATGGCAAATGTATTTACTGTTATATATTACAGCATAAGATTAGTTGTGGAAAGGATAAGGATAGGGTTTTGAGTAATAAATTGTAATAATTCATATTTCCTGGCTCGTACTATAAGGTACTTTGATACATTACCATCTCAGATAATTTAGAAAAACATTAATCAATAAATTTGTTTAACCATTCGATTCTATTCATCTCTTGGAAGCACAACTTTTTACAGGTTTGTGCTACAAATTGAGCATTAAAAAACCCCCAAATTAATATATTGGAAAAAAAAACCCTATAAGACAGTCCATACCAATGGAAACCAAGAATTTAATAGAAGTATAATGTAGAATTGAAAAAGGAGCCTCAAAGGGACTATGAGGTATGAAGGAGTACAGATTTGGAACTTAAATGCTGATTACATAGCTAAGAAGTAAACCATGCACTATTTGTGCACCATCAGTCCTAGCCGTCCAACATGGCTTTCTTAAAGTAGACAGGGTATTCCCCAGTCCAATTCAAGTTGCATATTAGTGTAATCTGTAGCTGTACAGTCAACTGACTTGAATGTACAGCTTGGAAAGCGTACAGGTCTGCCTGTTACAGAGGGAAGTTCCTGCACTGTAGAATGAATCATACTGCTTAACACATTTTCCCCTTTTAGAAAGGCAAACCTTTGTAGCTAGAGAGCTAGAACTTAAAAGTCTCGGTTCGTGTCTACATCTGCGTGCTTATCCTCGTTTATAAGCCTCCATTGTAACAAGAATTGAAAACAGGTCTAAGAAAATTACTTTTATGAATTCAACATTTCCGATTGCAACGGACAGTCATGTAGTAAATATCGTCATGTTAAAAGAGGATGCCAGTAGGGTATAAAATGTCCCAGCTCTCTTCCCTGACATTTCACAGCTGAAATCCAGCTTTGCTTCACTAAAATACATCCACATAATTCTTGCAGAGTTTTACCAATGAGAAACTGGCACTGCTTTATGCAGAGAACTTCAAACTTATTTCTCTTCCATTTGAGCCTTAGGGCTCTGATAGACAAACTCTTGCAGATTTGGCAGCAGTACTTTAAAATGTTAAAATCCCAATGCCGACTTCTTTGCTGGGGGTTTATCACTCTGAAGCAAGGATGGCGAGTTCAAATGTGTTCCCAGGCCCAGATGCCCCAGTTCTGGTCTAATGAAAAGGGGTTTGCACCAGGACACCAGACGTGGATCTAGGATAACTGAACCATACAAATTCTCCTATATATCACTTCTGGTGAATGTTAATAACCATAAAAGAAGGGATTGGACAGTCAGGAGGCTACAGCTGCATCTTAAATTGCCACAGGTGTTTGCCTGAACTCAATGTGAGCCACAATGATAAGGGA